CAAAATTTTATAATGATCCAGTTAACACAGGGTGTCGGTTTTCGAATGAACTTCCTTCCGACTGCATTCAAGAAGTTTAATCTGCAAAAAATGACTACTTATTTAGCATGTAATTTTCTCATTGTTTTTCGATGTCCTTCAAAATTAAATTATATAAAAATATTCATTCTTTCGCTTATTCGGTTTCAGAAAAGTGTCTAATTGTGGAATTTTATTAATGCCGTGAAATGGCCGTTCATAAAACGTCACGTATCTGCATATACGAATGTGGCTTGTAAAGTTAACAATACTGCTCAAATTCACTGCCCAATTTTACTAACCCCATATGACCTCCTCTTAATACCGTAGATAAATGCATGGTTTTCAGTACGCGGAAAATATGCGGCTTGTAGTTTGGGAACCCTGATTGTAAGTGCGACAGCAGGTCGGGTTCAAAATTATTCGGGAATTAAAAAAAAATTTTAAAACCGAAGTATACTCTTCTTTCGAGTATAAAATTGGAATAAGACATGATTTTCTACCGAATAAGTAAAAGAAAAAATATTTTTGTGCATGTTTTCCATGAAGTATAATTGAATTTTCAAAGGCATCGGAAATCAATGGGAAAATTGCCTGCTACTTAAGCAGTCAATTTTGCAGAGTATGGTTCTTGCATGCAGTCGGAAACAAGTCCAGTCGAATGCCAACACCCTGTGGTAAGTGGATCATTATAAACTTATGCTGCATTATGATTAGTTTTACAACTCTACTTAATTAATCTTTTTGAAACGAGAACGCATTTTGAAATTTCGGTTGACATTTTTATGAGTTAGCCAACCTACTGTATATCCCATTCATCATCCCCAAAAAGAGACGAAGAAGAAAAAACGGTGATTCCATGGAACACACTGTGTTGGTGCTGAGGTTTCGGAAACTTCCTCGTTTCCATCATCAGAGTAGTGGTATGGTGTTGGTTCCTGCAAGCTCAGAGTTCTTATTTCTCGCCGCCTGCCTCGTGTTATAGACATGCCTGATACACGAACTCTGACCTGCTTGCTGGCGGGCGATTGGTATCTCCGTGGTCGACCGCTGGGGCGTTCGTGTGACCTCTGCTCCCTGCCCGGCCGCCGTCATCGCTGCTAGGTTCGTGTGCCCGTGGGTCCTCCCCGCATAATCTGACGAGCTAATCAGCCGCCGTTGCATGTGGGAATCGCGGTCGGTAGTTTGGGCGCGTCGGTGGGTCGATGTCTGGCGTCGGTCGTCTGACCCCCGGCTGGCTCACTCCCCCTGCAGTGAAGGTGACAACTGTTGAGAGAGCCGCCAGTGCTGTCGGCCCCGTCCGAACTGACTGGAGCCTCGTACGTAGCGCCTGATAGGCCAGATGAAGATCAATGGCTCTGTTGATTGTGTCAACTGAGGACCAACTTTCGAGAACCAGTCTGGCCATCTTGTCGATGGCTCGGCCGATGACGCTTGCCTCCCCAAGGGCGAAACTGTGTTTCTCCTGTTGTATGTGACCATATACCAGTGACAGCTTATCCTCGCGGTTAAATGCAGGCTGGTGCTCGCGCAATCTTGTGCAGAGGCGTTTGCCCGTTTCACCAACATACCTCGCACTGCAATGTTGGCATGGTATGCTGTAGACCACTGCTGGTTGTTCCGTTGCGGGTAGCTGGTCTTTGGGCCTCATTATATGCTGCCTGATAGTGGATTCCGGTTTATGGGTCACCCTAATCCTAAAAGGGCTCGGGATTCTTGCTGTCGCCTCAGATACATTCCTCATGTAGGGGATTGCGAGCCAGAACTTTGGCTTCTCATCGCTAGATCGTTCGCAGTTAAGTCCTCTTCGGCACTCAGGTATGAAGTATCGTGGGTAAGCATTGGCTGTGAATAGGGAATGTAGGTATTTCGCTTCCCCCTTCTCCCGTTGTTGTCATTACAATGTGTTTTAACTCGTTGGAAAGGAACTCTGACACAACTGCGTTTGTGACCATTGGGGTGTTTACTCCGGAATTAGAGGATGCGTCTAGTACTCGATGCCTTTTGGTATATCGTAGTTCTGATCTCCCCATTAGCCAGCCTTGTGACGTCCACTTCAAGGAAGGGCAACTGGTTGTTGTTCTCCTCTACCATTGTAAATTGGATGTCGGGATATTTTGAGTTCAACAAGACCTTGAAGTCCCGACAAATGTGTCGTCGACGTATCTGGCCCAGAATTTTGGGGAGTATGAACGGAAGACCACTCGCTCGAGCCTCTGCAGAACAACCTCGGCAATAAGTCCAGACAGCGGGGAGCCCATCGGTGTTCGCTTCTTTTGCTCGTAAATATGTAAAGTAAGCTGCTCACTAAGAATAAAACAGGCCAAACGCAGAGAGCTATTTTACTATCGTTACCGATAATCTGTATAGTAGGTGGGCAAACTCATGAAATATCAACTGAAATTCCGAAATGCGTTTTCGGTTCGAAAACGTGCCAGCCTGCAACATAATTCTATAATAATGCAGTTACCTCAGGATGCCGGCTTTCGAACGAACTTCCCTCCGGATGCATGCGAAAACAATACTCTGTAAAAATGACTGCTTAAGCGGCATGCAATTTTCTCATTAATTTTCGATGTCCTTAAAAAGTCAATAATATTTCATGGAAAACACACATAAAAATATCAATTCTCTCGCTCATTCGGTAGAAAATTACGTCTTCCTCCAATTTTATACTCGAAGGAAGTGTGTGATTCGGTTTTCAAAAACTCTTCCAATCCCCGAATAATTTTGAACCCGCTCTGCCGTCACACTTGCATTCAGGGTTTGCACACTACAAGCCCTGTATTTTCCGCCTATGGAAAACCACCCATTTGTCTACGCTTTTAAGAGGAGACCATATGGAATTCATAAAATTCAGCATTGGATTCGATCCATATTGTTAACTTTACATGTCACATTAGTAAATGCAGAGACATGACGATGTATGAACAGCCATTTCACGGCAGTAAAAAGTCTCACAATTTGAAACTTTTTTAAAACCGAATTATCTCTCTCTTTCAAGTATAAAATTGGAAGAAGATGTAATCTTCTACCGAATGAGTGAAAGGATGAACATGTTTGTGTATGTTTTCCATAAGATGTAGTTGAATTTTTAAGGACATAGAAAATCAATGAGAAAATTGCATGCTAATCAAGTAGTCATTTTTTAGAGAGTGTTGTTGTTGCATGCAGTCGGAAGGAAGTTCGTCCGAAAGCCGGCATCCTGAGGTAACTAAATTATTATAGAATTACGCTGTAAACTGATTAGATATACAGCCCTACTTAATTAATTTTTTCTAAACAAAAACGCCGTTCGAAATTTCAATTGACATTTCGTGAGTTAGCCCACCTACAGTATGTCAAAAGCCTTATGAAGTGAGCCGCTCACGTATAATATGCGGCGCGTCCTATGGCGCAACGTTCGTTGTCGTTGGTAACGGGATGGGATCAATCAAGATCTTAACCATAACAGTGAGGGCTCCCTTCTTGCTTGGCATGTCTACATACGTAACTGTAATACGAGTGCCCATCCGCCCTCGCAGAGATTAGGAGGCACATGCGCTCCAAATTCAACTTGTCGTGTATTGTCGTCAGTCCTGCGGGCTTCCGTGCTCCCGCATATTGCCTTGGTTCCAACGACTTTAGTGTAGCGTCCTGCGAGGCCCTATGTGAATACAACGGGATTTTTCTTGCCCGGTTAGGAAGCTGGTTTCCTCAGGCACGCTCTTGTGTGTACGATTTTGCCAGGCTAAAAAACGTTCTCTTAATGTGGCATCCGCGGAACTAAGTCCCTTTTGGATGGCTACTTGCGAGTCAAACCACCCCATTCCGATAAAGATCTTCGTGACTGCGATCCTCTGCAACTGACCTCTAACCATACCGCATAGATAACAAGACATGTACTTGTTGCATGTTGTGTTGCACAACCGAATCCAGGGATGGTGTTGTACCCAAAACTTGTTATAATTGATCACGTTATTTGGCTACTGTCGTTTCAATAGTCATTTTTCTGACAATATTCTCCGGAAGCTGTGCATCCTTTTTTGAGGCATTTGAGAGTACCGCGGGTTAATCTGTCCCAGGAGCCAATTACCAGCGTTGCTTCGTGAACCTAATCGTTAACTGCACGTGAGGCATCTCATAGCAAACGAGACACGCTCCGCATCTGCTTAACTCATTCCACTCCTGTCTACCGTTTTCCAATGATAGGAGAAATTTAAGTAATAAAATACTCTTTTGAGTACTTAAGTAAAAACTGACTATTTGTCCATCTATTTAAATGTGCACGAGTAAAATGCTACGCAGACAGCATAGGCGAACAACAATGAGGGGCCGCAGTTTTTTGTCCCATTTTATTTGTTACTAGTAATAAATCAGTAACAATTTACGTGCCCTATCAAGGCGGGTTGCAGTCGCCTCCTCTTGAAAACAACAGGAGTTTTCCACAATTGCCGCCTTATACCATCCTCGGAACCTTACGCTCTGCTAGAAAGCAGTCGCAAATTGAAAACTCAACCTGAAAATGCATTATTATCAACTTCCACTGCCGGTTTTTTGAAGTGGTGCGCAAGATCCTATCTTCTGGTGGTGGTCTTAGGAGGGGGCGTTTTAAATAAACCGCTGTTTTCGCTGTGTTATACTTATTTTTGTATTGTAGTAAACAGAAGAGGGTGAGTGACTTGCCTAAATTTCATCGAGCTATAGTCCTTAACCGAATAATCCGAGTGTTGCTACAGCACACGGAAGTGTCGGCTATGAGTGGAAGGCTGTTTCAGCGGACGTTTTATATAGAAAGCTTCAGTTATTTTTTCTCTAAACTTTTAATACCTTGAATTTGCATAATGAGAACCGGATGTTATCTGTTTCTTTTCCCCATCACATTGCACAGGAACTTCTGTTTACCTGATGATTAAATAAACCACAACTGGACTGTTATATATAGATATATTTCGAGAGCACAATGATGCGCTCGAGATGGATAGTAAAGCTCTCCCTGTCGGTTACTGACTTGGTTTTTCAGTCTGAACCGCCTTTAGTTTCTCATAAATTGCCGGTCCATATTTCTTGACAAAGTCAGCCAACTTTGAACCCGAATCGGCCTGCTCCTTTGCGGTCTTGTTAGCCTCCAACTCGGCTGCATGCTCCTTGAACCACTGATCCAGTTCGGGCAGGAAGGACGGCGTAGTCACCGCCTCCTCCGTCTTCATCGCTTCAGTCACCCCTTTCTGCGCCTCACCTTCCGACTTTCCGGTCGATGACGAGAACCTGCCTGCCACAAGATCCTCCGGTATCCTCTGAGAGACTGGTGCACTGGGTGGATAGGCGTGCATCATGATTGGTTGATTATTGTATTGGGGCATGTAGACGATGTTGTTGTGGGGTTGATAGGGACCCCTGAATTG